CCCTGTTCCTGTATTGTGCTTCTTCGTGCTTGGACTTGTTTCTGCTTAGCTCTCCAGTCTTCCTGCAACCGGGCTGGTCTTTCACTTCAAATTTACAGGGAGCTGTGTCTCTGTTGGGGCTGGCCTGACAGACCTTAGCTGGAGCAAGGGACAGGCCCTGAGATAGCATCCAGCAAAGTTTATTATAAAGGATGCTTTGTTAGGTTAATCCTCATTTCACCTCATCACGAGAGGCACTTTGGGGTCAGGGAACATGAATTTAATTGAGAGAGAATATCTCTGCTCACATCTTAAACTGTAAGATCTTGGACTTGTCATTTAACTAGTGATTTAAATGTCCACTTATTCATCTGTAGAATGGAAATGGTTTGGAAATACCAAACAAGATAAAAATCTGTGGATGAGTCTAACGAGCAATAAAGAATCAAGCAAATATAAGGGACATACAATGGTACAAAAATATAGCAAGGGGGACCAGCAGATGGTATAATGGTAATGTTGCTGGACTCTCACGTAGTCGATTGCGGTTTGAGTCCCGGACCCAACGGCTTAAAATTCATGCTGGGCACGTATGCATGTGTGCCCAAGATCCCAAGAAGAGAATGGAGAAGGGATTGTGGCATGGCCATCCCCATCCTCCCCTGGGGGATTGATTTCTTACTTTCTGTCTCTCCAGAGAGTGCACGCACCCTATAGCGAAAATCTCTCAAAAAGAAAGAAGAAAGAAAGAAAAGAAAGAAAATGAAAATTTAACAAGGAAATTTCTTTCGATGGTTTCCATAAATACTCATTGGCAACAATATCAACTTACATTTATCAAGCTTTTGCTCTACATCGGTTACTATTCCAGATCCACACTGTTCACTTAACCTTATCTGAAACTCTGTGAAATAGAACTTATTTTTAGTGCATTAATAAAAAAATAGACTCAGAGATTTAAAGTAAATTGGGAAACTCAACTCCTTCTCTGGCTCGGTCCACGGTCCGGGTTCCCTTCTTTGTGTCCTAGCCTTAGGCCCTCCACCATAGCACTTTGTATGGTGGTGTTGCCACTGGGTTGTGTGATGTCCAGGAGGATGAGGGCCCTCAAGCTGAAGATTAGGCTCAGAGCACATGCTTTTAATTATCCTATTGAATTAAGCACTTATGCTTGATTCCCTTACATGTGCTGGGCACTGGAATGTATTTCTGCTTAAAAGTTCAGTACAGAGGCCACCAGGTGACATAGTGGTGGAGGCATTGGATTTCCACATGGCCCATCACCGTTTGAGTCTCGGACTCAGTGGCTTGAGCCTCACCCCACCCATGCGTGTGTGTGTGTGTGTGTGTGTGTGTGTGTGTGTGTGTGTGTGTCTGTGTGTGTGTGCTCAAAATTCTGAGAGAAGAACAGAGGGGAAGGAATTGCTGTGTGGCCATGCTCCCTGGGCAGAGATGCTTTCTCACTTTCCCCCTTTGTCTCTCTCCGGTGAGTGTGTGTGCCCTATGGCAAAAAAAACCTTAACAAAAAAAAGAAAGAAAAGAAAAGGAAAGGAAAAACTCAGCACATATTTTAGAAAGCACGAAAAGGAACCCTGAAAGTTGAAACTACGGTGGCTCTAGATGCTTCTATTTTTTGCTGTCTTCTATTCTTTCTCACAGAGAGCCATTTCAAAACCAGGCAGATTGCCTCCCTTGGCCACATTAGCTTACACCTTTTCTGTTTCTTGAGTTGGCTGGTTTCTTTCTATAGCTCATTGCTTAGTAACACTTGGCTAGCTGGAGAGTTTTCTTGAAGAAGAAGAGAAAACTGGATATGAAACCCAGAGTAGACTTTTTTTATTTTTAAGAATTGTTTTATCCAACTGTATTTATTTATTTTTATTCGACCAGAGAGGAAGAGAGAGACAGAGAGAGAGAGAAAGCGAGAAAGCAAGCCGCCATGTCCAGGCCACAGTTGGCAATGTGGGAGTCCAGCACCCTTAACCACACCAACTACCGGCCCCAAGACCAAGAGTAGTCTTAAAAGCAGAGCAACATCTCAGGTATTTCTCCACACAGCTAAAAGACAGTCATGCAGAGAGGGTTAAGACATGCCTCTGTTGACCCAGGCTTCATCACAGCCAATTCTACGTCCACCGGGTCTCTATTAAAGATGGTCCCCTGAATTGCAGCAAGCAGCCTCATACGCCGGATACTTAGCTATTTCACCAAAGGATAAAGCCAGTTTATTTATTTACTTTTTAGAAAGAAGGAAGAGATGGTTTAAACTGCTCTTTAAATGCTTGTATTTGTTAAATATCATCAACAGTAAATAGCTTTAGGTATCATCCTATCCACTACTGAGTATAGTATGTGAACACTCTGTATTTTTAAAAATTTTAGTAAAGCGATAATAAATATGAACAGAAAACAAAATTTGACAGTGTATGTGTTTTAATTTCTTTAAAAACTCCCAAAGCTAGGAAATGGTGAAAGGCAAGAACAAATAATTCACAAAAGAAGAAATGAAAATGACTCATGAATATATAAAAAGATGCTCAAGGGACCAACAGATGGTGGAGCGGCCAACTGCGGTTTGAGTCCTGGACCCAGTGACATGAAACTCATACTGGGCATGTGTATGTACATGCCCAGAAAATCAGGAGGACAAAGGAGGAGACGGGATCATGGTGTGGCCATCCCCCGAGGAGGTGATTTCTCACTTTTCCTCTTACTGTCTCTGTCTCTCTCATTCTCCAGCCAGTGCACATGCCCTAAGGCAAAAAAAAAAAAAAAAGAAAAGAAAAGAAAAGATGCTGAACTTACTCAAAATGAAAGAAAAGCAAATCAAATACTTGTCCGATTGACACAAAGTAAAAAGCTTGTGACACATTCTGTTATCAAGGCTGTGGGATACTAGGCTCTCTAATATGTTGCTGGCAGGCATTTACTGGTCCCCCATTCTGGAAGGAATGTGGGAAATACCTAACAAAATTATATGTGCTTTTGCCATTCACCCTAGTAATCTCACTTCAAGTATATAACCTGAAGCTATACCTCCAACAGTCCCAAAACATGTATGTGTGAGGTTATTCAAAGCAGAGTTAGCTTTTTGCAAAATGTTGTAAACACCTTAAATGCTTATATATGAGAGAGTGGTTGAATAAACTATGGTCACCCATGTGCAGAGTGTTATATAGCTATGAAAAAAGAAATAGGGCACTCTCTTTAAACTCACACAGGATAATTTCCAGAATATACTGCTAATCGAAAAAGCAGAGTAGCTATCAGAGAAAATCCTTCCTAGAAGAAATAATGAGGTGTAAGGCCAGTCAGGTGGTATGGAGATTAAAGGGGATGGATCCCACATGACAGAGTGCATGGTTTGAGTTCTGGGCCTGGTAGCTTGAAATACACTCTGGCCGTGTGTGCATGAGTGCTCAAAATCCTGAGAGGAGAATAGAGAAGGGACTGCAGAGTGGTCATCCCTTTGGGAAGTGCCTTTTCACTTTCTCTCTCTCTATGTCTCTCTGGTGAGTGTACAATCCCTCTAGCAAACTAAAAAAGAAAAGAAAATATATAATGAGATGTAAAAAAAAAAAATACATATATCTAATCGCTGATGTAGTAAGAATTACAGAAAGAATAACCCAAAAGTATGGAATTTGTTATGTTCAAAATAAATGAGAGAATAGAAATGGAGTAGGATTGGGGTGACACTTCTCTATGCCTTTTTGTATAGCGTTAGCTTGTCAAACCATGCTAATGTTTCACACATCAAAGCAACGCATAGCCAAATAATTTAAATCAACCAGGATGTGTAAGGAACTCCAAATATAATATAAACAGAAACGAATGGGCCAAGCTGTCTTATAATAAATATTATAACCCCACTGAAAAGGATAGAGAAGGAACTCTGAGAAAGTAACTTTGGAAAACAATATATATTTTTAAATTTTTATTTTTAAAATTTATTTCATAAGAGAGAAATACACACCCACAACAGGGTCTTTTTTTTTTTTTTTCTTAAAGAGAATTATTTATTTAATTTTATTTATCATTATTATTTATTGATTTATTTTTTTGGAGAGTTTTTTTTCTTTCTTTGGGGGCGGAGAGGTTTTTCGATATAGGGCGCGTGCGCTTGCCAAACAGAGAGAGACATAGAGACAGAAAGCGAGAAATCACTCTCCAGGGGGGATGATCACGCCACAATCCCTTCTCCTCCATTCTCTTCTCAGGATCTTGGGCATGCACGCACACGCGGCCGGCGTGAGTTTGAAGCCACTGGGTCCAGGACACGAACCGCGGTTGACTACGTGGGAGTCCAGTGACATAGCCATTACGCTAACTGCTGGTTCCCTGGAGAGGTTTTTGCTATAGGGTGCATGTGCTCGCCAGAAAGACAGAGAGAGATAGAAAGACAGAAAGCGAGAAATCACTCCCCAGGGGGGATGGCCATGCCGCAATCCCTTCACCTCCATTCTCCTCTTGTGATCTTGGGCACGCACGCACACGCGCCCAGCATGAGTTTAAGCCACTGGGTCTGGGACTCGAACCGCGGTTGACTATATGGGACTCCAGCAACATAGTCATTATGCTAACTGCTGGTCTCAATATCATTATTATTTTTTAATTTGTTACAGGGCAC